CCATTCTCACTATGACGATTCGAAGTTGGTTTTTCATTAATCACGTCATTCTTTCTAATGGGCTTAGGTTTAATATATCTGTCTCTGATTTCTGGCTTTCTTGTTGAGGGTTCAATACTTTCTATCTTCTGGCATACACTGCTTAACGGAATCTTTGACAGATGCAGCTTCTCGAACCAGTCTAAACCCAAGAGGTCAAGGTTTGAATTGTTGATGTAGCATGTGCCGACGAAATGACTATCGCGAAAATCAACACTGCATTTTATTTCTCCATTCAATCGAAGTCTTCCACCACATGCGCTAATTGCTATCTGATTTGTCTTCTCTATGGCAGGGCATCCCAACTTCTGCCATAATTTCTTTGATATTATTGTAATATCGGATGCTGTGTCGATTTGTAGGCGTGCCGGCCGTGTATTAATCGTCAGATTGATATATTTGCGAGGTGCTGGAGTACTGATATGATATGCGGCAGTAATACCCAAAGACTTAGGCTTGTTGCGCCGTCCGGGTCGACCACGAGATCTGGGTCGGTTGTTGTGTTTGCAGTAGCCATCTTTGTGACCAACAGTATGGCATTGACGGCATTTATGCTGTTTGAATGGGCACAAGTTTGCAAAATGCCAGGCGCCACAGTGCCAGCAGGCTGATGGTGGTTTATGCTGAGAATGACGCGGTGCGGTTGATGTCGACGGTACTGGATGCACCGCATGCACTTCTGCTGCATTTTGGCTGCCAGACTGCACCAAGACGGTATCGTTGTGAATGTTGATTAAACGCTGATATTCTTCACCGACGTCTTTCAAAGTCATTCGTGGATCTTGTTCCAAACGATTTAATAGACGTGTGCGTATATCAGCAAATTTGGGAGACTGCAAACCACAAATGAAAATCAATACCTTGAACTGGTCTTCTGAGAGTGATTTCAATTTAAAACGTTCACACGTGCGATTGACTATACCCAACTGAGTATGGATATCATCATTTTCGTTCAGAGATAGTTTCATGCAATGATATCGAATGTTGAATAAAGATCTCTGATCACCGAACTGATGACGAAGGGTATGGACAGTTTCATCGAATGACCTTTCGCTGGGCTTCTGTGGGAGAATTAAGTTGCAATATTTATCTAGCTCATCTGCTCCCAATTTACGAAGTAGAAGCCGTACTTTCCAGGCATCATCTTTATCCGCAAAGTCTACTCGAAATAGGTCTTCATATCTGCGAAACCAAGTGTCAAAAGTGACGTTCGCATCTGGATCATAAACAAATTCTGAGATGCTGCTACCAATGCTGTCGTTGGCTGTAGATGAATCGGCAGAGCGTGATATCTGTAGACCAGCAAGCATTTCCATCAATTTTAGCTGCTGTTCCATTAGTTTCTCTAAACGCAGTGGGTCCATCTTCAGCAAACCCGTCGCCAAATTTGTTATGTATGTGAATATGAGGACCTTGTAGACTACGAGCGAATCTAACTAATGCGCTGGCTAATCTGTCTTAATCGCACGTCAACAGCAACAACAATAATACCGCCGGGCACGCAAGACAAACAAAAGAGAAGACTGGACGTTGATATGAGAGCTTTTACTGACTCAAACAACAGTCGAAAATGTTAAACAACAACTCCGTATTTATACAATTAGAAAAATCAATGTCACATTTTAAAAATATTAACGACCTTGGGGAATTCAGTAATTTAAATCAATAATCACGCAGATGCGTGAAATCAATGATTATGCTAATGTGTGAAATAAATAATGAATATTAATGATTCCCCTGCGTATATATTAACCTGTTGGTTTGTTGTCAGCCAGAGTTTCTTGTTGCTAATTCTATCTGGCCGACCGGCTGACTGGTTATTTTATCTTCAGTATGGAGCCAGCCAGTGAAGGTGGCATCCGTTGATAGAACTCTGCTGTAATCTGTTGGAAATGCTTTACGTGACAAGCAGTGCAAGTTTCTGACCGGTATAGAAGGACCGACTTGACATTTGTGTTGAAAATCCGAATCTTGCTGTTCATGCTGAGGCGGAGTGCAGGAGATTTCGAAACTGGTTTCAAGTTGATGAAGGCGTATCTTGCCTTTCCAATTCTGACTTTGACATCTCCTTCCGTTCCGCCTGTAGTTGAAACGATGCTTCCCAGATAAGTGAAGGAGGTAACCTCTGTCAAATCTCTACTGTTGATGGTGATTGGTGCTGGTTGTTGTTGTTGATGTTGTTGCAATTCGTTGGTTATCTTCATCACCTCCGTCTTCTCTATGCTCACCTGGGGTACTCTCTTTGCTGCTAGACTCTTCAGCGAGTTTGTTGGTTTTCGTCTGTAAGTCTTCGAGTTTATGTGACATTAGACATATATCATCTGCGAAATCCAAATCTTCCAGAGTCTTCTTATCGGAGATCCAGTGTATTCCTAACTCCTTGCTCCCCACAGTCTGACGCACAATCCATTCCACCACAATTTACAGTTGCCACACACTATTTAAATCTAACAACTCCCACAAATGAAGTTCGTCCGTTAGTAGTGTTTCATTGATAAAATCTTCCTCAACCATTTGGAGGGTGCAGGTTTGCTTCCTGAAAGATAAACTCCATTAATGTCGACTCACTTAATAGCAAACAGTGAGCCAGATAAGGAGGGAAGGTCGGGCTTGATTTTAGATCCCCCACTATGCATAAACAACAGCTAATGAATCTTCAAAGCTTGAAGCTTTATGTGTCACTCATAACGCAAAAAGGAATAAAAGAGAAGACGAGGAATTAATAAAAATTTACACACTGCATTATTATTATTTAACTTTACACAGTGTCACAAGAATCAGCTGACAAACTACCCTAGAAATCAGTCAGTGTGTACACCTAAAAGTATTGAATTAATTAGTGGAAAAGTGCATTACTGTTAGTGACATTTATAGAAATTTGTTGTGATGAGATACATTCTGTTTTAGCATATATACATATATATATCACATGTAACAAGAATATATATAGTATAAATTTCAGTGTTTGTTTTTGTGTGTATAGAATAAACCAAACAGGAAAACAATAGGTTTTACCACTTTTCCACAACAGAAAACGTCACCTGAAAATGTTATCTACATGACTGCTTTAATTTTTTTTTAACAAATCATTTGAAAAACTTCATGGGGTGTAAATATTTTGAAATGTTAGTGTCCGTCATTTTTTTTTCTTTCTTTCTGTAATCTTTAATTTTACTACTACAAATGAAAAAGTATTTAACAAAATCGAATTGATATTCAAGTAATGGTTTGTGGGGATTTGATTGATTGGTTACAGGATTTCATCATGAGCTGACATTGGTTAGAGAACCATTGGAAAACCACCTGGGAGTAGTGGAAGGCTGTTTCGTTCTGGTTTGGGACTCTCCAGCAGTACGCACCCACACTGCGGGGTTCGAACCCAAGACCTTCAGGTTACAAGGCGAGCTCGTAGACCATTAAGCCACTGAGACCCGATCCAATGGCCATCCCACGAATTCTAACTTCCGCCGATTCATGACATAGCGCGACCACTAGCCAATGTCTTCGGCGAGTATTTGTCCTCACACCCAACCTGCTGCACCCTACTGGTAACGACTTCCCACTAGAACCCCAGGTGACTACCTACTTGAATAGGGCCAGTCGCCAGTGAGCACCTCATCGATATTCAAGCATAGGTTTGTAGGCTTGCACTGGTGAAGAGCCCCAAACTAGGACGAAACAGCTGTCCAGTACTCCCAGGTGGTTTCCCAATGGTTCTCTAACCGATGTCAGCTCATGATGAAATCCTGTAAAATCGAATTGACTGTATTTTTCAACATACTCTTGTACCAGTGTAGTATTCACCACAAAGCAATATCAGTCAGAGATCATTGAAAACCAAGGAGTATTGTTTTAGATCCTAGCTTGGGACTCTTCACTACTGCTGAATGGTCAACGACCTTGGTCCCATAACCTGAAAGTTCTGAGTTCGATCGCTGGAGGAGGGGTCATGAGTGCACACTGTTGAAAAGTCTCAAGCAAGGACGAAACCACTGTCTAGTGCTCCTTGGTTTTTAACCATCTCTAACTGATTTTGGTTTGTGACGAAACCTTCAATTAATTAATGAATCTAAATCCCTACAAAAAGCTATACCCCTATATCGTCGAACATCAATGCATGGTTGATAAGAAGACAGCTGTTGACTTAATATAACTAATGTATTGGGTAATGATTGAAGATAAAATGAATGTTTAGATCACAGCAAGATTTGAACTAGCGAGTTCCGAATGATTAGATTGCCTTTCTGCCATCTGAGCCAGGGGAGCCAACAGCCAAGTGACGGATCATTTCACTGAAATCATGACATGTAATGCCTAAGTGTCTTGTGAATGTAAATGACACTTTATTTTCATTGAAGAGCGGATAGTAGCTGATGTCATGCATCTAGTCCTTGGTATTGGTGCAGATTGAATTCTATCAGGCAACTTTGCAATGTGTTCACCATGCTAGGCGGTTTCTGACTACGATGGACTATGGATTGTTGTTAATAGATGGTTGGAAGTAATCGGCAGGAAGCTTTCGAGCCAGGTTTCGTGCTTGTTGACACTCACCAGTCAGTAAGGCGTATCTGTAACCTTGAAGAAATTCATATCCTCTATTGGATTCAAACCCTCTTCACCCAGTGCTGCAGTCCAAGACGTCGCCACTGAGCTTTTCAAATTCATAATTGACCTTTTGTAGGATTGTAATGAATACTCTGATTGGACACAAAGTAGCAACTAGTGTCATATGTCTAGTCTTCCTTTTGATAACCCAGGTTCGAATCTCTAAAGGGATATAAGTTCCTTCAAGACTTCAGATACGGCTTGCTGATGAGTGCCAGCAAGCACGAAACCCAGATCAGACAAAACTTCCTAGCGATTGCTTCCAAACATCTAACAGACACAGAGAATATTAGAGAATAAAAATTTATTTTTCTTAGAAAAATCGGAGAGAAAAAAACACACATTAATATAATTACCTTTATATCCTCTGATTTGATCCCATTTATGATCCGTTTGACATTCACACTTATAATCATTTTCAAGATAACCAGTTATTAAGCACTGACTTGATATTGTATGAGTTGCTTCAAGGCATGGATTTGTTAAACAGGGATTTGGACAAAAACCAAATGGTATATTATATGTTATACTATTATTACTATTAGTATTATTATTATTATTGTTATTCAATGAATTTAATTCACTTATAGTATTACATAAATCATAGATAAATAATAAACTCCAATCATCATGTATTTTACTGATATCACCTTCATAAAAATCATCCCTTGTTGGACGAAAACGAAACCATAAATTAGAACTACTTATCGCTAATAGATAATATAATCGCCATGCATTCATTAACAACATATGTAACGGTTTCCCTGGGATATATTTCGCAGGCATAATTGATTTTTTATAAATACTTCGTATAAATTTAAAATCAGAAGTTGTTATATTTGTTGTATTTGTTAAATGAATATAATGTAAATTATCTGTATCCACTGGATTAAAGAAAGTATTATTAATAATATCATGAAGGGTTTCACTAATTCTTCTTTCATTATTATCAGTTATTGTATTATTAATTAATAATAATGCAAGATCTTTATAATGTTCTATAATTCTATGAAAATCACCATGATTATTACGACTTATATGTATAGCGTTTAAACGTTCAATAAGTGATTTTTTAACTGCACCATAACGTTGTTTACTCGCATCTGCATAAAGCATATCATTGAAGGGTGTAAAATGAGAAAATAATGGATTTATTTTTAAACCACTACGATAAGGTGTTAATAATAAGGATAATTTCTGTGAGAATATTTCATTTGTATTCAATACTTTTAGTAGAATTAATAAAAACAGAAGATACAGTAAAAAATGATGTCTTTTTTTCCATAAAATAAACATTAGTTCATAAACACTAGACTAGGCACAGAGTTGTATGTGATAGACCGATTGAATTAGGTATATTTGAATGTTAAAGATCAATACTACTTTTTATTGATTACTCATTTATCTATTTATGCTTATGTGAATTAACAACCAATCACAATCAAGGTCACCAGAAATGGTGGGGAATTTAAATAAGATTACTATATTACTGAAGAATGGCGCTGAAAATGTTGTCTATAAAGATAATGAAACTTTTGTAATTAAACTACCCAGCGCGGAGAATTATATATTCACAGGTGATCTTTTATAAAAAATTTTTCAATTTGACGGGTAAATTTCTGAATTATCAGACCAGTGACTTTGAATCGACTAACTGTATTAAAAGGATAAATTTGGGTGAGTAAATAGAATAAATGTTGTTTAGAAGAGGTGGCTAGCCTAAGTACTTTGTCTTTTGTTTGGGTAATCACAGTGGATTGTGTGGAAAATATGAACTGCAGCTTAATGGCAGTTCTTTGAATCAATTTTCTTAACTTGATGATTATTATTTTACTTGATACTTCTTTGAGATGGCACATTTAGAGGCTTGTTTTTCACAGATATAGAGTAGTTCCTTTCTGCTGGATTTTTCTGGATAGCTATTTTCATTTAACATATCATAGACAACCTTAGGTTCAAATTGAATCACATCTGAACATATAGCTCTGGCCATGTGTATCTGGAGGTTCCTATCAAATTTCTTTTGTTCTGAAGAGGTAAAAAGCTATGGAAATGTGTATACTGTCCTACCTATGTACTTTTCTTAAGTAACTTTCTTATTTTACCATCTGGTTTTCTTTTGAGAAGTACATCTTCGTAATATGTGAATTTGAAAGCCAGGTGGATCTCATTAGACTGAGCCACTATTACGGGCTTATCTTAGTCATTTTTACAAAGGATGAAAGTATCATCCATATATCATCAATGAAATGAGCATTTGCTGATAATATCGTTTAAAGGACCATTTTCTAGTTTATTTGGAAAGGGACTCACTAACATTAGACTTAATGGGGAGCCCATTGCGACCACAGCCACTTGTACGTAGAATTCACTGTCAAATTTAAAATTTACATTCATGGTACTCTTTAGTATTGATTCCTCAAGGGTTTCTATTGGGGTTCCAATATTTATTGACTTGTTATTTATCTGTTCACATATGTAGGTAACCTTTTCAATCAGAAATACACTTGTGAATAGAGATGTTACGTCCAAAAGATATCATAGTTGCATCTTTGATGTTAGTATCTTTAGTTCTATCTACGAGTTCAAACACATCTTTCACACTATATTTCACTAGCTATTCATGTAGAAGTTTAAGAATAGTTACCAAGCATTTAGCTAAAGCATAATAGGGTGAATTTCGCATGTTTGGGATTGATCTCAACGGCATTCGAGGCTTATGTAATTTGGGTCACCTGTATAATCTTGGCGTATATGCTGCCGTGAGTATGAGTCCATCATATAAAATATAGGGAAGTATCTGTTTTCACATGAACAGAGACAAGACGGAGGTTATGAAAATAACCAACCAACAACAACAGCAGCAACATCCACCACCAATCACCATCAACGGGAGGGATTTGAAAGAGGTTACTTCATTCACTTATCTACGGAACATTGTCTTAACTACAGGAGGAACGGACGAGGATGTCAAATCGAGAATCGGGAAGGCGAGAAACACATTCATCAACCTGAAACCAATCTGGAAATCTTCGTCACTCAGCTTCATCAACAACAAAATTCGGATTTTCAATACAAACGTCAAGTCAGTTTTGCTATACGGATCAGAAACTTGGCGGGTCACAAAGAATATTTCCAACAGGTTGCAGACGTTCATCAACAACTGTCTTCGTTCTACACTCAAGATCAGATGGCCAGAAAGGATCACCAACAAGAAACTATGGGAAGAAACAAAACAAGAACCAATCACCCAACAAATATGCAGGAGACAGTGTAGATGGATTGGACACTCGCTGAGGAGGCCGCTGGGTGACATCGCGCGTCAGGCCATTGCTCGAGTGGAACCCGAAAGGGAAGCGGCGAGTGGGACATCCAAGGGTGACATGGAGGAGATCGTGTGAAGAGGAGTTGAAACAGTATGGACTAACATGGATGCAAGTGAAAAATACAGCACCAGACAGAAGCAAGTGGAGGCGTGCAGTTGAAGCCCTATGTTCCACTAGGAACCCAAGGGAACAATAAATAATAAAATAATTATCTGTTTTCACATAAGTTTTGCAAAAGTTTGATTGATCCATTTTCTATTTTACTTTTTAAACCATTTCTTACAACCAGTTTTTGAAACTTCTGTTTGTCATTCACCTTTTCTATCTGGGAGGATTACTTCTGATCCTTTGTAAGGTTTTGTAATGACCAGTCTTTTGTTAATTATCAGTTTATGTAACTCCACTCTAAGTTCCTTTGTCTGGAAACTTTTGCAATCATAAATGATTTTTGTTAAATCGATCGCAACAATCTACTGGAATGAATTTGAAGCGTTCTAGTTCGAGGATGGAGGATGAAACTAAGTCTTTTGTCTGATTATATAAGTTTTCAGACTTAATATCTATATCACTGTGATTGATTGTTTGCTTAATTGTCTTAAACTGAATCCTATACCAATAATTCCTATCTCTAACTCTAAGTTAACTGTAATCAACTCTAACCATAAACTATCACTGACGTAACTCTAATCTAAGCCTTACTGTGGCCCAAGAAACCGGACGATAGTCATGTAGATGAATACCAACACTCCTATGACAGACTGAGCGTTATTCTCGCAACACTTCTTTGAATATAATTTAATGAATATAGTGTTATTGGCGGTCGGTTCACAGTCATTGGTAAGCTCGTTCGATTGGAATCTTATAGTTTAACTTTGCCAATTCAACATCTCAAGATCATATATATATACGATTATTTATGAAAAGTAAGAGAACAAGTGTAGATGAGATCATAAAACAGATCCAAGGAGAATGACCACATGATTGTGGAAATAGCCAATCACAAACAACATGATCGGTAAGGTAAGTCATTGAACCATTTATAGACGTATTTAAACAGTTAAGGTTGGTATGAAGTTAGTAAGTCGGAGTAGAATGACAATAGAAGTTCCACGAGTAAGTCATCTAATTCATGGAACACTATGCAATAAAACTTTTTATGCCTCTTCATGTTATATACCCCTAATTTTGTCTGATCTTAAAATAACTATATTTCGCAGGTAAGAAGACAGGGATGCGCTGGACTGATGAAAAGACTCCAGGAGATCTGGATCCTACAGATGATTTATGTCTAATTTCACACAATCTTGAAGACCTGCAGACGAAAACCAATAAGTTGGCAGAAGAGGCTATCAGCAAACACAGGAGTTGACTGAATATATAATAATAATTATCTACTTTATTCCAAAAACAGTACTTATAATACAGAATGGAATTCTCAGTATTTGTCACAATATTACATATGATTTATTCAAAATATAAATTAAATTAAAAATTAAAACAAAATGAACCAGAGGAATTTGTCCACGTTTACGACATAAAGTCAAAAATATTCGAAGCATGAATTAAGATTATTAAATATAATAATAATAACAGGGAGTTTGTTTCAAACGGTACTGTCGATTCAGTTTGGAAACTTTAGCATGTTATTGGATCTAATGTTTTGATGATATAGTATAGTGAGGGGAAATACAAAATTAACAGTTATAATACAGCTTAAATTATGTCCACACTTATGAAAAAAAAAAAATAAACAGAAAGAAAAAATTGAGAGGATTATAAATATAAGAAATACAATAACAATAAAGTTTGATGCTTTAAGGGTGAAGGAAATGGTTTATTTAGTGGTGCTAAGAAGGTTAGTTAGTTCATGTCTGATACTATTTGCATCACATAAAGTACGTGCTAAATATGGTATAGTGGAGTTTTTATACTTAGACGTACGTGCATAAATTCTTCTGGAAAGACTTCTTGTTTTACCTGAGGAGACACAAGGTTGGATTTGCGGGTAGAGTGGGTGCTCACAGTCTGACAAAATTCCTTTAGCGAATTTTTTGCATGACATCAAATGCCTATCAGTGACAATGCCAACGATGTGGCCTAATGGGATACCACTCACCCTACTGACAGTCTTCAGAGTTCTACGAAGTATGACATAGTCTTTTTTAACCAATCCAGGAAAGAATAAGAGTGAACAGTAAAGAAGAATAGGTAAAATACACGAGTTGACAAACTGTAAGGGGAGCGGTTGGGTTATGCCTGAGTGCTTTAACTTCTTAATGTAAAAAGTCAGACGAAATGTTCTTTTAGAAATCGCTAAGACATGAGAGGACCAGGATAGGTCAGAAGAGAGAATTAATCCAAGTTACTTAACTTCAGACGTGATTTCTATATCAGTATCATCAATTTTGCAAGGTTCATAGGAACCAACGGCTTCATTTAACTTTCGTTTACATCGGAAACTGAAATTAACAGTCTGACATTTGGAAGGATTAAGTTTAAGGCCGTTAGACGAAGACCATTTGTTAATTTCTGATAGAAAGTTGTTTATCTTAGTGCAGTCAAGCTGGGAGTTAACAGACATTGAAATAGTTAGATCATCGGCATACTTAACAAAGTTCATTTCATCAGAGTGAGGCAAGTCATGCAAGAAGAAAGAAAACAGAAAAGGAGAAAGGACGGTGCCTTGAGGGACACCAGCCTGAGTAAGCAATGAAGTGGACGACTTTCCCTGACATACAGTGTACTGCTTTCTTCCTGAGAAATAAGAATAGAGCCATTTGACAACCCAACAGTCAGTTTGAGTTTCAGCAAGCTTGTTTATCAAAATGTCCGTAGGTACTGAGTCAAAAGCAGATGCAGCTAACAAATTTAGCCCCCTTGTCTAAGCTGGAGACAATGTTATGATACAAGACTGCAGCTGCATCTAAAGTACTTCTACTGTGTTTGTAGGCAAATTGTTTGGGATCATTA